TCCAACTCCTGGGCTCAAGCAAGTCTCCTGCCTCCGCCTCCCAAGTAGCTGGGACCACAGGCTCCTGCCACAAGGCCTGGCTATTTTATATGGTTGCAGCCATCTTCGTAGTTTTAGCAGCCGCAGGCTGGATTTGAACCCATCACCTTAGGTGTATGTGGCTGGCACCTTAGCCACTTGAGCCACAGGCACCGAGCCAAGACTTCATTTCTAAAAAAAAAAAAAAAGAAAAAGAAAAATTAGCTGGGCATAATGGGCACTCCTGTAGTCCCAGCTACTCATAAGGCAGGAGGATCACTTGATCCCAGGAGTTTGAGGGTACAGTGAGCTATAAGAGAGCCACTGGACTCCAACCCAGGCAAAAGAGCAAGACCTTATTTCTTTTTTCTTTTTTTTTTTTTGAGACAGAGCCTCAAGCTATCCCCCTGGGTAGAGTACTGTGGCATCACAGCTCACAGCAATCTCAAACTCCTGGACTCAAGCGAGTCTCCTGTCCCAGCCTCCCAAGTAGCTGGGAACACAGGTGACCGCTACAATGCCCGGCTATTTTTTTTTTCAGTTGCAGCCGTCATTGTTGTTTGGAGGGCCTGGGCAGGATTTGAACCCGCCACCTTAGGTGTATGTGGCTGGCGCCTTAGCCACTTGAGCCACAGGCGCCGAGCCATAAGACCTTATTTCAAGGAAAAAAACAAACACAAAATCTGACCATGTACCTGTATATTGCAATTTATTGAGTGATTCATCAGATTTTCTTTTCTTTTCTTTTTTTGTTTTTTTTGAGACAGAGCCTCAAGCTGTCGCCCTGGGTATAGTGCCATGGCATCACAGCTCACAGCAACCTCCAACTCTTGGGCTCAAGCAAGTCTCCTGCCTCCATCTCCCAAGCAACTGGGACTACAGATGCCCGCCACACCTGGCTATTTTTTGGTTGCAGCCATCATTGTTGTTTGGTGGGCCCAGGCTGGATTTGAACCCACCAGCTCAGATGTATGTGGCTGGCGCCTCAGCTCATGAGCCACAGGCGCCAAGCTGATTCATCAAATTTTCAAAGGAAATTTTGATAGTAAACTGTTTTTACAAATGCCTTAACTTAGACCAGATCCTGGGAGTAAAAAGCAGCTCCCTCTAATCAGCAGATATTTTGCTCAATTCACAAGAACTAACCCAGTATTGTCTAAAAGACAGAGTGTGAGTCACATGTGTAGCTTAAAATTTTCTATTATCCATGGAAGAAAGGAAAACAGGTAAAATTAATTAAGTAGCCCAACTGATATAACCCATTAAAAATATTATCATTTACCATACACAATGAATAAAAAATGTTCTACATTTTTTGTGTGTCTTTGAAATTTGTAATGTGCGTATTATGCTTACAGTTCTCATGAAATTGGAGAAGCTACATTTTTTTTTTTGGTAGAGACAGAGTCTCACTTTATTGCCCTTGGTAGAGTGCCATGGCATCACAAATCACAGCAACCTCCAACTCCTGGGCTTAAGCAATTCTCTTGCCTCAGCCTCCCGAGTAGCTGGGACTACAGAGACCCACCATAACACTCGGCCATCTTTTTGTTGCAGGTTGGCTAGGGCTGGGTTCAAACCCACCATCCTCAGTATATGGGGCTAGCGCCCCACTCACTGAGCCATAGGCGCCACCCGAGAAGCTACATTTTAAGAGCTGGCTGTAGCCAGGATCTACTAGACCACATAATGGGCTCTCAGGCTCTCAGAGAGAACAGACTGCCTCCAGGGGTCTTCGGCTACCAATTCTTGGCCAGTGTTAATGCCAAGACTAGTGGTCATAAAGGAGCCACTAGCAGTCTCCTTTATGGAGACTGCTCATTCCACCACTGAACTCCAATCCCAAAGTTCAACTACTACTAGCTTAGAACTCATAGAGGTGTGAGCCAAGGGACAGAGAAAATCAGGGTGACCTGATGCTTGGTGATGTCACCAGAGTTGGTGCTGTAAAGGGCTTGCTGGAAGACCAGGGGTGTACAAACACTTTCAACTCATTCTGACTATCACCTTGGAAGGCACATCTTGGTAGCCCCAGTCGAGGCAGGAGTCACCACGTCACCACACAACACAACCAAGTGGCAATGCTCATGACCCTGCTCATCTTCGTGTGTCCTCCCCAACCCATGCCTACCATGTTTCCCCCAAAATAAGACACTGTATTATATTTATTTTTTCTCAAGACACACTAGGGCTTATTTTCAGGGGTTGTCTTATTTTTGTTAAGTACAATACAACAATCTACATTTATTCAAATATAATTAAGTCATTGTCTTCTGGAACCTGACAGGGGGAGCTGACCTTGTTGGTGGGGCTGGTGCTAGCGATGCGTGACTTCCTTTTACCTAGCCGTTTCCATGTGTGCAATAGGATGCCTGCAACTGTGGTTACCACCAGGGCATCCGAGCAAGTGCAAATGGCTTGGAGAAAGGAGCTGTGGCAGATAAAAGGTATTCCAGTCTTCCTTACTGCTCCGTGCCAAAATGCATGGCGTGCGGGCATAGCTTCGCCCATCACTTCGTCTTATTATCGGGGTAGGGCTTTTATTTAACAAATGCACAGAAATCCTGCTAGGGCTTAATTTGGGGGTAGGTCTTATTTTCGGGGAAACACGGTAGTAGGTGCTCACTGAATACCTGTGGAACAAGGACCCAGATGAAGAAGTGATGTCAAGACACTGAAAGGTAGGGGAGAAGGCAAGGGAATACATGTGAGTGAATGAATATGGTGTTCACTTCAGGGTTTAAGAGGCAGCTTCACACCTGACTTGGAGGGTCTGAGGTACTGCCCAAGATGTTGAAAATGCATTTGTGAGTCTGCTGATTAATCCATCTTACCTTTAAAATTATTTTTAAAAATCAGCCAGGCATGGTGGCACCTATAGTCCTATCTACTACTAGCTGAGGCAAGAGGATCCCTTCAGCCTAGGAGTTAGAGACTACACTGAGTTGTGGTCAAGCCACTGTATTCTCCTTTGGGTGACAGAGGGAGCCCCTGTCTCTTAAAAAAAAAAAAAAAAACAAAAAAACCCCACAAGAATCTCTTCTTCACCTGCTTCATCTATGTAACAAAAGGCCAAGCCCCAGGGCAGGTGAGTCTACCATACATGTCATATTTACCACATGCCTGCTTCTCATGATGTCATACTACAAGCCCAACAGACAGACCCTAGCTGGGGGCTTCTGGGACTGCCCTCCCCTGCCCCACTCTGTGCCAGTATAGAGAACAGGAAAGGCAGGAGTCACTGTGGCATGACTTCACAGATGTGCATCCCCAACATCCAGAGTCACCTCTCTTATCCTTACATGACACAATTCTGTCACAGCATCACTCTACCCTCTTTCCCCACTCTTTGAGAGTATCCCAAGTCCTCTTGCCACCTCAGCCTCTTCAAACCTGCACTCAGCCAGCCCCACCTTCAAGGCTTTTCTGGTCCATTTCCTTTTAGAATCTGCTCATCTGCTTTTAGGAGTTCCACAGGCTCCCCAAATGCCAGCATCTCCCAATCTCCCTCGCTCCTGCTTCCCAGCCTTCTTATCCTCCTCCCCAGCTTCAGGTCACTCCACAAACCCTGCCTCTGCCACCACTGGGAGCTTCTCCTAGTCTCTGAGGCTCCCTTACCTCACTCCCCCGGAGACCCCCCACCCACTGGACCCCTCAGGGATCCCCGCCCTCACCGCTCAGCCTCTTTGCCTTTCAATCCCCCCATCTTGGCCCCTGGGCACCCTCCTCACCCCACCCCATCTCACTACTCACGGACTTGAACCCTACCCTAGCTCCACAAGGGACACCCCCAGAAAATCCCTCAACCTGTCCTGACCACTCAGAAACTCCCATTAACATCCCCTCCCCCTAGATGCCTCACTGGGAACTCACCAATTAGAAACACTCCCAGTGTTTCCTGTCCCCTTAGGGGCCCCCTTTTTATAAAGATTTCAGACTCAGGATGCCCCTCACCCATCTTCTCTCAGGGACTCTCCCCTGACCTAATCTCACAACTCCAGGGCCCTACACCCCATATTCCCTCTGCAAGGACTTGTCCTAGGCCTCATCTCACCACTTAAGGATCCCAAACCCTGTCTTTCTTCCCTTGAAGGCCCCCCCACCCACCCACATCCCTCTTGTTCCAGTAGGGCGCCTCCCCTTGGCCCAATCTCATTACTCAGGGACTCTCACTCCGTCGTCCCTTCCTAAGGAATCCCAGCACCCTGATTTCACTACTTAGGGACCCCACATCCGTCTTCTACCCACAGGGACAGCCCCTCGGTGCAAACTCACTACTCGGGGACCCCTCACTGTATTCTTAAGGACCTCTTATCACTCTGATTTCTCTACTTAGGGACCCCACACCTCGTCTTCTCCCCGCAGGGATCGCCCTTCACTCAGCCCGATCTCACTACTCAGAGACCCCTCACTCTGCCCTCTCAAGGACCCCCATCACCCTGATTATGCTACTTTGGGACTCCACATTCCATCCTCCGCGCGGAGGGCTCCCAGTCGTCCACATCCCAACATAAGCCCCCAGTCGCTCACTCACTCGGAGGCGCCCTCGCTGGTGGGAGACGGGCCCTCGGCTATGGCGGGGTTGATGGTAAGCGCCGGCAGCACCGGCTTCCTCCGGGCCAGCATCGGGGCTCCGCAGGCCGGCGGCGCCTCTAGCCCGGGCCCATAGGGGGCGGGCCGCGAGCGGGCGGCGCCGACTCGAGCCCGGGGCTGCGGCCTAGGCCAGCGCCGGAGCGACCAAGGGCGGGCGATGCTGCAGACTAGGGCGGAGAAGCGTTGAGGGACTCCGGAGTTGAGGCCAAGGAGCTGCCGCCGCCGAAGTTAGAACAAGGCTGACGCTGCAGCCGGAGCCCGGGAAGCCGAGCGAGGGGAAGAGGTACTAGCAAAGCCGCGCACCGGCCTCTCGCGAGAGCGAAAGCAGGGAATTACGACAAGCCCCACCCTTCAGCCGCGGCGCGTGCGTACCACCCCGTGTGGAAAGGGGCGGAGACCGACTCGGGCGGTGCCCGGAGCCTGAGCTCCAGCTCCCCTCCCACCGCGTGTCTGCGCACGCGCTTAAGTCACGGAGTGGTGGGGTTAGGATAGACTGGCGTAGGGGTGGGGCAGGGTGACGGGTGGGCCCAGGGAAGGCTGCAACCTCCGAGTCTGGCCGGACTTCCCCGGCTGGGGCAGAGGGAGCTAGTGAATTCCCAAGATGTTGCGGGACCGAATAGGTTCCACTTTTTTTCCAAGTGTGGACACTCCCACCATCTTAAAGTATCAATTACCTTTATTTCGTAAGGGAAAAGTGGCTGAAAACACGTTTTAGGCTCGGCGCCTATGGCTCAACCGGCTAAGGCGCCAGCCACATACACCTAAGGTGGCGGGCTCGAATCCCCAGCCCGGACCCGCCAAACAACAATGACGGCTGCAACCAAAAAATAGCCGGGCGTTGTGGCGGGCGCCTGTGGTCCCAGCTACTTGGG